AGACTCAACCTATTGTCATCTTGATTTCTATACCAACTTTATAATCTATTTATGTATTAACTCATATACATTTGAATTTTGTCATATTTTGTTTTGTTCTTTTAATATTTGCTTGATCATTGTTTCTTACGAAGAAATTAAATAACTTTATATTCTTATTTTAGGATTAGAATATGAATTTAAATCGTGAGATTATTGAACCTTTCAAAAAAATTGTATTAGTGGGTAGGTATTAGATTTTTTTATTAGGTTACTTACTCTCAACTTTGCATTTATGATTATTATTAGATAAATATGTAATCAAACTTAACTAAGTAATTATAGACTAATATTATAATAAATTGTAGTATTGAATAATTTCACCTATAGATTGAGGGTGTTTTTACTTAATAAGATTTTATACTTCATTTTACTATTCTATTTTTTTTTTCCTAAAAAAATATTAAATCAAATCTCTATTATTTATTTACTATAATACACTAAAATTTAATTTTATATTCAGAACATCACATCAATAATTTCTTGTAATAGTTGTAATCCATTTGCAGCACATCCGTCCATCTTGATCATCTCGGTGTAATTGCTTTCAGCACGAATCTTCCCCTTGGGTGCACAGATTGTATGATAAATGCTTTGGAGTGAAGGACTTCATTAAGTGCCCCAATTACTGTCATTGTGAGTTCTAGTAGAATGTTAAGTCCATCTAATGCGTCCCTTCAAAGGTCTCAAGTTTCGAATTCAAGCACATAAATCTTGCTTTCACGTAAGATGTTTACTGACTAGTACTATTTGGGAAAAGGAAGACTGCTTTGCAGAAATCTCACTCATTTTCTGTCTTTGGGACGAAAGTTCATCTTTGGAATCTTAGATAGTTTCAAGTGATAATTAATGCTGACATATTTTATAAATTAGATATTATGATGATTTCTTAGCATATATAATAAATATATTTTTTAAGCGATAAATATGCTCAAATTTTGGATTATCAAACTTCTTCGCATTACACTTTTCATCGTTCTTGAACAAATTCAATAAAAGAAATACAATGTGGAACTCTGGAACCATATTTTCTCATTTCTGCATCAGATTTAATTTTAGCAGGTTTTCGATTGGTTGTGGTAACATCCGTTGAACATTTTGATTCTGACCAATCAAATATGACAGAACTTTCTGTAGCATTGTTGTCACCAGTATGAGGCAGATCATTCTGAATTTGGGGATGTTCTGAACATCTGGAGGATTCTGAATCACTTTGACAGGAGCAACATCATCGTCACTTGAATGTTTAGATTTCTTCTCAGAAATGGTATCATCGAATATTACATTCATAGATTTCATCACCTTCTTAGTACGATTGTTGAACACTCTGGAAGCTCTTGAATTCAGAGAGTATCTCAAGAATATGCCTTTATCTGATTGATATCAAAATTATGTAGTTGATCCCTGTCCTTCATGATATTTCATAAGTTGTCTTCTCTGTATGAGGTCTGAGGTAAACTCGATTGATCACATAACAAGCTGTATTAATAGCTTCAGCCCACAGATGTTTGGTAACTTCTTTGGCATGCATAATCGACCTAGCCATCTCCTGTAGAGTTCGATTCTTCATCTTCACTTTTTTTTGTGGAGTCTTTGGGGCAGAAAATTCATGTTTAATTCTCAATCCATTGCAGAATCTAGAAAATCTCTGATTTTCACACTCTTTTCCGTGATCTGTTCTCAGTCTATCAATCTTTGATTTCTTCTCATTCATGAGTCTGTGTACCCAATTGTTCAAAGACATCACTTTTCTCACGCAAGAAATCAACTCAAGTATATCCGGAAAAGTCATCCACACAGACCAAAATGTACTTCTTACATCCAAGACTACAAACATCAACTGGACCCATGAGATCCATATGCAGCAACTCCAGACAGTTGTTGCTAAAGCATTGTTTCAACGACGAATGCACAACCCTCTTTTGTTTTCCTCTTGCACAGTCACCACACGTAGTACTGAGCATCTTTGAAAATCTAGGTAATCCTCTTATAGATCCAATTTTTCTGATCCTCAGCAGGTTTTGCAGATTGACATGACCCAATATAGTGTGCCACAACATCTACTCGTCATCTTTCAATATCAATGCTTCCATTCTCGGATATTCCAGCATGTAGCAATTGTTCTTCAATCGAACACCAGTCATCACATATTTTTGTCCAGCATCATATACTTCACATGAATCCTTAGTAAACTTCAAATGCAAGTCATCATCACATAATTGACTAATATTGATCAAGGTCGTACTAAGTCCTTCAACAAAATAGACTTTCGACAATCTTGGAATCCCTTCTTTTTCAAGAACGCCATAACCACTGATATTTCCTTTTGCACCATCACCAAAGATAACATCTCCACTTCGGTCTTCAACAAAATTCTTGAGAAGTCCCTTTTGGTTAGTCATATACCGAGAGCACCCACTATCAAAGTACCATCGATCACCCCGGGTGGACTCTTGACTCGACAATATCACATTGCACTCCAGCTGTTTCTGAGCTTCCTTAGGCATCCATACCAATTTGACTTTGATGTTTTGTTTCAACGCTTCAGTAGGCCACTGAATGTGCCTTCCATTGATAACATCGTTTGCCAGCTTGAAGCACTTCTCAGCCGAAAGATCAGGATACATGCAGTACTTGAAGTCAGTAGGTTGTGATAACTTCGATTTGTCATTATGACTTCTTCTGCGGTTTTTGTTCCAATTTATGCTTCTGCTCTTCGTTGGGTTTTGTTTCTTGACTTGTATTGATCTCTTCTCTGGCAGTTTGACATCAGTCAGCAGACCACCACGCATAAATGTAGTTGGTTTTCTTTGAAAATATTCACAGAAACCCAATCATTTGTGATCACCAAATGGTTTACCAATTGACACCACATCAGACTCTTGGACAGTCTCAAGTTTTGTAGACACCACAAACTTCTTCTTGAATCCACCATCAAATTTTTCTTTTGGCTTGCTGGAAGTAGTAGGCTTCTGCTCAGAGTATTTTCGTTGTGAACTGGGTGTACTCACTCCCTCATAACCATTTCTATTCTAGAACTTCCCACACTTCAGCTTGGATGCTCTTTTCTCACTAATCATTCGAGAAAGTTTACGACTCAGTAGTGCCATTTCTTTATCAAACTCTATCAGCTCCATGTCTTCAGCATTTAACGCCAAACTTTTAGGAGTTTCATCTTCAAGATAGTTTATTTCATAACTCACCAGTGTTCCATACAATTCATCCAATGTCATATTTTTCAGCTTTGGTAGTTCATCGAACATAATCACCTTGGCCTGAAATTTTTTGTGAAAGTTTTAAGCATCTTCCTCACCATCCTCCTCTCTTCAAAGTGCATTCTAAGAGCTTCAGCTTGATTGACAACATCCATAAAGCAATTATAATACACAACAATTGTTTCATCTTCATTCCTTCAAACAATGTCTCCACATAATCCAGTTTTAATTCTCGGGCTTGCACTAATCCTTCGAATGCATTTTCTAGAATGTCCCAAGCTTCTTTAACAATTTTGCAGTTGGATATCAACTTCTCCTGCGTTTCATCCACAGCGTTGAAGATCGAAAAGAGAGCTTTTGAGTTGACGATTCCAACAGCTTTTTCGTTTAGAGTCTATTCTCTTTTTGGTTTCTTCACAAAAGAGGTAATACCATCTTCATCTTGGATGGTCTTCATGGGATGAGACCATGCAAACTCGACAGCATCAGAAACATCTTCACCTTGTAACATCAGAAAAACTTCCATTTTGTTCTTCCAACTTCGATAGCTTGTTCCATCGAACAATGTAGGTCTCGATGTATAACGACCTTCCTTACTCATCTTTGAAACTATGAAATGACCTACTCAACAACTTAGAGAACACTGCCATGATACCAAATGTTGGGAGAATAGGTGTTGTACCAAATCACCTTCAAACATATATTGAAGGGCCAACTCCCGAAGCGTAGTTATATCACAATTATAACACCCTATTGCCAACTAAATGCATGCAGAAATACAAAGCAGTAAATGAGACAAGGGTTTGTTTATCCGGTTCGGATATAAACAATCCTATATCCGGGGGATACGAATCCCGAAGAAGTTCATTAATCAGTGCTGATTAAGAACAAAGACAACCACAACTCCTTCCACTCAACTGATACACTTTTTTTCTCACTACACACTCTCTAAAACCTCATCACTGCACTCTTCCCCTCTCGAGCTATGTAAGGCAGCCACAACAAGACATGTTGCAGCATGCAATTAATACAAAAAAGGAATAGTGTATTTCTATACACTTCTGATCAGAGGACAAACCCAAAGTGTTCATTTTATCTTGAGAATACACCATCATACGAAAGACAAATAAACACAATCAAGGTTGAGGCTTGATGGGACTGCACATGCTTGGTTAAAGATTGTTGTTTATAGTTTCTGACGACAACAACAACACATGATTATTTTGTCCATTTTCCAAAAATTGGTAATGAGATTTTTCATTTAACAGATGATGAAGATGCTGCTAGCGGTTCCTCCTATGGCTCTGGAGGAATGTTTGGTGGAAATATTTAGTAGCTGTGAACGCAGCATGCATGTTTGGCTACAAGTAATTGATGTTGTTATTTTACTGTATGTTGTTGTTCATTATTGTCTGTAATAGGCTTGTTTTTTTTTTTTTTTTTTTTTTTTTAATGAAATAATAATACTCAAGAATTACTACAGTTGCAAAATTGGTCTTCCAAACAATTTTTAGCCTATATTTTATGTTAATTTTTTGTTACTATTTATTATAGATTTAGTTTGTTTTTTTTTTTGTGTTATCAAACTTATTGCCTATTATAAAATTTTTATTTTCAACTCATTTTTTATATAGCATTTCATATTAAAGAATTATTTTTAATCTAAAATTAACAAAATAAAAATACAAAAGAATACAGTTAATTTATTTTTTAAAACAAAATTGAGCATTACACAAATTTTTTATATTTTTATTGAAAACATAATACCAAATATTGTAAATTTAAAATATATTATATGCAAAATATATTTGGATTCAAACTTGATCTATTACCAAAACCAATAAAGGTCATAGTATAGTTAGTTGTCCAGAAACTTATGATCATAAGATTATGGGTTCAAACTCCGACGCCCTAGGGCGTCCGGCAATAGCATGAGAAAGGGTTGGAGGAGGGGATGGAGCGAGGGATGCTCCAACTCCAATGATTCCCACCATTCCTTCTCTGATCTGAGAATTTGGATAACTACAAGAGATGCCGGAGGACAAAAAGAATGATAATCAGAATTAGAGTTTCCTGCTTCTCCAAAGAGCAATGGCAGTCTCTTCACTTCTGTGCATCCTTCCATCCAAATTACTTGGATGGAACTACAGAGCAGTGTCGAGTCACAGATACTCTTTAATTTTGGGAGCTGAAAGAGCCATAGATTCCTCAATTTGGGCATATGGAGATGGATAGGGAGTCTTTGAGATGATGATGCTCGATTTCCTCCTCTATCATTTCCTCCTTCAAATATTTCTTCTATTTCACTACAATGTCGGACATCCACCACTTCAAGGTTTTGTAAGCCTCTCAAGAGTGATAGTGACAACCCCATCTTCTTCATCTTGTTGCATCTATAAATATGCAACTGCTGAAGAGACGAAAACTCTATTGTGTGTAGAGGACGAGGTGGAGATGCACTTTGAAACATCACCACGCCTATCAAATCAGGCAACCCCTCTAGCGTCATGGTTTCCAAATTTTTCAATGGAAAATTTAATTGTCCTCCTCCTCCTGCCATCGCCATTGGAAACTCCTTCGATTTCAATATGCACTCTACCCCTTGGCATTCATACACTGTCAAAAGTTTGCAGGGTTCGATATTAATATTTAGTCCTTGAATATCATCCATCATGCAGCTGCTTAGACCCTCCCACTTTACAAATCCAATGCCTTTCATGTCGACTGGCCATACAATAACATCTCTTCTCCCTTCTTCATTCAGCTTCATCCCATTTACAAACACTTCGTTATCACAATATGCTGTTATTTGCTGGCCGAGAAATTCTCCCACAACAACACCATAAGATCGATTGTACTCTTTGAATCTTGGTAGACATGTCATTAATCGACCATAATCATACATGTCTTTCACACGCCCACAGAACTCCTCGAGCTGTTTTAATTTCTCAATTTCTGTCATTGGGGCTTCGATATAAAATGGAAGATGGAGGCATTGAAGTTTTTGGAAATTCAGCAACAAATTACTTGGTAATTTTTTCAATTTTCCAGAACCAATCTTCAAGCATTCAAGATTGACTAGTTCTTGCATTCCCAAAGGCAATTCCTCCATTGAAGTCCCTGAAATGTCCAACTCTCTTAGTTCTTTTAGATTTCCCAAGTCTGGCACATATTTAAGGTGTTCGCACTTGCTCAGGAGAAGGGCTTTAAGGCTCACCAAATTAGACAAAGAATGTGGTAACTCTTTAATTAGTGTATAACTCATATTAAGAACATGCAGACCTCGCATTTCCAAGAAAAAGGAACCTGGTATAAGCGCCAAAAAATAATTGTTCTGCAAGAGCAATTTTGAGAGCTTGGGACATCTTGGAGACAACTCTACAGGAATATTCCATATGTTGTTGTGCATCAAAGAAATCTTCTCGAGATCTTCACTCCATTCATCTACTTCAAAAATGTCTTTTCTCAAAAGTTTATTCTTTGTGATCTTTAATGCCATAGCTCTTACTAAATCATGCATCTTCACCCATTGTCGACTACCATTTCCGTTTTCTAACAAGCACACATTTACTAACTTATTCAGTATGACGTGACCCTGATCCACCCGCTTTCTTCTAGTCCTTCTTCTGTCTAACAGCCCCTCTGAAATGAGTAGTTCAATCAATTCTTTTCTATCGATTTCTGAGTCTTCAGGATACAAGCAACAATTCAAGAAACAATGTTGGACCATTGTAAATCCATTGTGCTTCTCTTCTCCTTGATCCAATCGATCAAAACTATACTTGAGTATCTTGTAAACCCTTTCTTCATAGCCATCTTCTCTCATGATTGAGTCATTCAACTCTGTCAAAGCATTCCTCCACTCGCAAACATCGGTTCTACCCTTCATACTTCCAGCTGTTGTGATTATGCCCAATGGCAATCCACCACAATGTTCCACCATGCGCTCCGCAATTTCTTGTACTTGGGAAGTTAGCGTAATCCCCCCTCCAAGAGTTTCTTTAAATAAACTCCATGATTCTCCCTTACTGAGCGTTTTCACAGGAATCACTTTTTGGCAACCAATTTGATGACATACTTCCAACGAACGGGTTGTTATGATTAGCCTACACTGGTTCAACGAAAGTGGATCTCCAATGTGTTCCAGGTTGAACTTTTCCCACACATCGTCAAAAATCAGCAAGACTTTGTTTCTTTGTGATAGTACTCGGTTCAGTCTCGCTGCTCTTTTGTCTTCACTGTGCTCCGCTGAAAGGTCTACATTCACTGCCTTAGCAACTTCATCCTGCAAGTTCTTTATGCTAAATGTCTGAGATACGGTTATCCAAATAACAACATGTTGAGCTCCTTCAACAAACCGATTGTGAACGTGCTTCGCCAGCGTTGTCTTGCCGACACCACCCATCCCATGAATCCCAATGCTTGACACTCCATCATTCACTAACAAATCCCAGATCATTTCGAAGTTCTTCTCAAAATTTTCACCCACCAACTTCTTTGTCAGGAGGGGAACTTGCTCGGGTTCACAAGCATGAAGCAGTTCACCAAAACGTTGACTCTGGTCAACTAATCTGTCTACTCTCAAACTCAATTTCTGTGCTCGATCTCCCCCGAAGAAGCCACTAGTAAATCCATCAGAATCCATAGCAGCCCCGAATTCCGTGAATTCCATTTCAAGTTTCCGCACCTCTGCCAACCAGCTCTCGACTTCACGCTTTCTTTTCTTCATACCCGATTGCTCACCATTCTTGACCTCCTTCTCGACATCAAATGCTTTATCACTCAACGATTTCAAGTTCATTTGTAGAGATTCCAATATTATATTGTAGTTTGTGATCGTGGTCATATTGCCCAGAGCATAATCTGCCAGTTTCTCCCCGAGCCTGGAGAGAAAAGGTCCGGCGATTTCCCAAAGCATTTTTCTCTCTGCATTCAACACAACAGACTTCAAATAACCTCGTAGAAACACACAGGTTCATTCAATTGAATTTTGAATAACTTGCTTTGTATATGCTATGGAAATGTGTGTATATGTGCACTTGTGTTATGTCATTTGATATTAGAAGCAGAGCATGGAGAGCCAAAAACATGTAACCCTAGTTTATCATTTTTTATGTTAGCAATTCAATTGATGAGTATGTTTAACACAAAACAAGACCAAGCTATTGTAATCTACTGATATTTTGCAGAAAACATTAGTACATCTAAACAGTAAGAATTTAGAAAACCATAGATCAAGACAGATAAACATTCGCCTTGTTGCTTCAGAGAAATAGTAAAATACAGGAATCATAATTGTTGAAGGATCACCTGAATGAAAGCTTAGGCCACAGTAGATCTAAAACCAACAAGAATGTGAAGAAGCAACAAACACAATAATTGAATAGAAGAAAACGAAAAGGCTACGCGGGGAAGACTGTTTAAGTCGTTGTTTGCCAAATACTTCCTAACTACAATCATTGATGATATTAGCCACTAATATATACAAAAATACTTAAGTCAACAACTACATACATAATTTTATTAATTTAAGTCACTATCATGCAAAATATATATATATATAATCAAAACATAGTAAAGTAATATCTTGCAACTATAATATTTATTAAAAATTATTAGTATTAGTTGTACATTGACTTATTCAAGAAGTGATTACTTGTATTTTGTTTTTCTAATTCAACTAATTATTTTTTCTACAAATATTAGATAAGATAACAACCTTTTTTATTATTAAAATTATTATATTTATTTATTGTTTTACTTCAAAAGAAAACAAAGGAATAAAACAAAAACAATATGCAAGTAAATACACCAGAAAAATTAGATATAAATATTTTTTCTGCCTCGAATGTGTTACTTTCTACTATGTGATCATTAACTGAAATATGTAGTGGAATAGTCATATATCTAGCTCGTAGTCGCACAAAATATTATTTAATCTAAAATATTGTGGCGTGGGCTAACATAGCACACTAAGAGCTAACATGTGATAGTCATGTGGCAATTTTAACCTCAAATATTGATTTGAATTTAAATTTTTATATAGTAACAATATTTTGTACTAGAAAACCTATTCAACAACTACAAATTAAATATAAGATTATTTCAACATAAACTATAGTTAAAGGAACAATCACTACTAGAAAAAATGCATTTTGTAACGAATTTTTTTGTCCTCAAAATTTATTTTTTCGGCTACTAATGACATTAAGGATGAAGAGAAGGATTGTGTTAGCTAAGTAAACTTTAAGTACGAAATTTTCTTACAAATATATATTTTTTTGTGTAGTGAATATAGTAGTAGATGTCACATACCTTACTAAAAATATATTCGTCGCTAAATATTATTATATTTTAAATCAATATTAGTAATTACTATAATAACATATATCTAAAAATTTCAATACATGATTATAGTTTCTAACATGGTATGGAATCCCCATGTTGCTATCAAAGTCTTAGGTCTCGAGTTCAATAACTACCGCTCCCCAACAAAAATACTGATGCATGTAATGGTTAATGAAAATGGTTGCGTTGTACTTCCTCAGATTAGTTTTATAACTTTAATTCAAATTTCAACTCTAATTTTCTGTTTTCAACACCAATACAATGTTGAAGAAGATTGGATTTTCATTATTTAGGGGACTGGGGATGAAGTGAGTTGTTTTAAGGTTAACTATTGCCTCCTCAGACAATCGATTTGTTAGTTTGTTTCATGAATCCTACAATTGAATAACCGAGCAAAGCGTTACTTTGATGCTCAAGCTGGCGAATATCGTTTGATAGTGTGTATAATGTTGTGCTCTGGGCATGTGACAGTAGGAGCAAATGGTTAAGATTGAGCAACTGTCTGCCTTGTGTTCGAGAATTCAATAAGCAAGCTGCTTTCATTTCATGTATTGTGGGTTAAATTAAGAATCACTACAAAAAAGTAGATTTAGAGACAAAAAAAAGTTTTTGTCTCTAAATTTACTTTTTCCGTTACTAATGACATTAGAGACGGAATTATGAATGAAATTAGGTTAACTACGTAAACTTTAGGGACGAAATTCCGTTGCAAATATATTATTTTTTTGTAGTGTGTGTAGCATACAAGACTTAGAGAGTAAAATTCCAATTTATATTTTTAATTTTCTTCTCATATACAAATTCTATTTAAAAAGTGGTTTTTTTTGTTTTACATAATTGGAGGTACATATAGAAATTCAATTAGTAATTAAAGAAAATAATGCTCGGTAATGATAATAACAATACAATAAATAATATTGAATAAAAAATAATAATGAAATATTAAATACTTTCTTTTTTCAAAATTAATAATATAAACAAAGAAAGTACAATATTAAAAAAAAGATTGTGCATCACACGACACACGCTAGTATTTATTTATTTCTCCTCCCTGTAAATACGTCCAGTCCTTTGTTTTCTCCTATGTTGCGACAATTTCTATCCAAAGGCCATTATGAAATTTTAACCAAATAACTTTTCATAAACTGTTTTAGTATGGAAATCTACCAAAAAAATAAAACTCAACCTACAGAAATATAGAGTGTTTGTTTTGTGAGAGTGTTGAAAATAAACTTTTTAAATGTTAAGTACAGAATAATTGTGTACAAAATATAAAAATAATGAATATGCTTACTGTTTTTTATCAAAATATCTGAAAAAATAATAGAAAAAAAAATCCCTAAACTAATAAATCATCAAAATTTTATGCATCTATTTGACATCGAAATCAAATACTAAAACAAATCCTATCTCGATTCGGGTTTACGGCCTCAAACATTAATTATTATATCAAAGTATAAATTAAGAAGAAATTGTAAAAATATTTCTATTAGTTTCTTATAATACTAATAGAAATAGAAAAAAATTTGTAAAAAAAAATTATATATTTTTAATATTAAGTATAATGAGTAAATATGAGTAAAAAAATATCCATAATAAGTGAGAAATATCACCAAATTTCCACGGTAAAATTGGCTGTAGTAATAGACATTTTTAACCTTTCTGCCTTTCTCCTGAACACCAACATATCCTCCTTATTGAGGAAGGAGATTTGAATGTGAAGGCCCCCATTCCCACGACTCCTCCTCTCCACCAGTATCTGCTGTGCTGAAAAGGCTGTGATGCGTTTAGTGGCATGGAGTTTAAGAAGTCTCAGAGTTGGGATGTCTCCTATGTGGAATGTGTAGAGCACTGTACCCAGATCAAGAATTTCCAGGACAGGAAACCAACACTTGTCTAGTTGATAGAAATCTATATCAGTAGAGCCATCGATTCTCAGAGACTTGAGAGAGCAGAATGCCTGGGGGAAACGGGACCACCCAACTCTTGAAATGTTGCCCTTAATCTTGAGTTCTTCAAGATTAGGCAAAAACGCCATCATCTGCAAATCTTTCCAACAAAGCTCGATGTTGTCTAAACTCAATTTCCTGAGTGAGATTGGGTAGGTGAGTTGGAGCAACAAGACCTTCTTCATAACTGGAGAGTCGACATGGAAGAAGACTTTCAATGATTCCAGCATTGGAAAATGACGCATATTCTCAAGGAAATAATCTGACTCTGCCCTATCATACTTGATTTGTAGCTTCTTTACACGTTTTATCCTCATAAGGACATCGTCGGTGCACTTGAAATTTACTATTTTCATGAAGGTCTGAAGGTGTTCCAAAGCAGAATTTTGTGGCAATCCCATGGTTGAAGGAGGGTCGGGAACAGAAATCTTACTGAACTCCACATGTCTCAAATGCTTCATACTCCATATTTCAATTGGAGCTGAAACCAAATGAGTGTTGTGGCAAATTATAGTCTCCAGACTCCAGAGGTTGGATATTGTTGAAGGAACTCTGCACACAGCTGAGGTAGAGCGGCATCGAATGTATCGCAGGTTTGCATGTTGAAAAATATCTTCGAAAGAATTTATATCAACATCATCTACTACGCGCAGCAGTGATGCATCCTCTATCTGAGGCATACCCTCACCACAGCATATTAGAGTACCGGTCTGTGATGGATATATGGCATCATTGAATTCTTGATAGAGATTCTTTTCACGAAATACAATGCAATGATTTCTTAAGATGTCGAAAAAGTTCTCTTCTCGAGCAATCCATAGGCATAGATCACGTACACATTCATGAATATAGCACGTTTTCATATCTCCGGTTAATCCATGTCGATTGAATAATACCAGATTTCTATCAACGAGATCCTCTAAATAATCCAGACCAATTTCTTCCAAACATCTGTTATCATGATCTGGTTGTACAAAACCTTGAGCAATCCAAAGCTTGATAAGTTGAGAAACAGGAATTACATAGTTTTCAGGAAAAATTCCCAAATAAAGAAAGCATTGTTTCAAATGTCTAGGCAAGAATCTGTAACTCAATGACAATATACCGAACCAACTTTTATAATCTTTTAAATTCAAAATTGGCTTTAGGTCTCTTGCCACAGACTTCCAAACGTCTTTGATCAAAGGCAAATTTTTTAGAAGTCCCCCAATGACAATGATAGAGAGAGGAAGCCCTTTACATTTTTGAGCAATCTTCCTTCCTATATTCTGAAGTTCATTAGGACAATTCTCTATTCCAAATGTAGTTCTACAAAGCAATTCCCAGCTTGTAGCTTCTTCAAGAAAGCACTTCTCAAGGACTGGAAAGTCAAAATAAGATACCATTCTTGATGGCCTAGTTATTAAAATGATTCGACTCATATTCTTTCTATCCGGAAAGCAAGGCCTTAAGCCACCCCAAATTTCCAAACTCGTCATGTCGTCTAATATAATTAGATATCTACCACAACATAAACTTTTGTACAAAAGTACTTTCAATTGGTCCTCACTGAGTAAATCATCACTACTTTCTTGTCTGTCAAGACGAGAACATATTTGCAAAAGAACATCCCGCAGAGTGCATTCTTTGCACAATGTGATCCAAATTTTGATATCAAAGTGATGGAAACCAAGATTATTTTCATAAAGAGATTGCACCAATGTGGTCTTACCAATTCCCTCTATCCCAACGATTGAAATGACCTGAAGTGAATAGTGACCCGCTGTGAGACATTCCAGGATATAATTTTGTTCTATCTCAAGTCCCACTACAAGTCTCTTTGAACCACGTGACAGGGAGTATTTGTGTAGGTGGTGATGTGCAAGATGATCTGATGAAGCAGGAAGAGACCTGGAGGGTAGCTGCTGCTGATCTTTGAGTCCTACACACAACTCCATTATGTATTTCATTTTTAACTTTACTCTTTCGAGCAACTCAATGTGTGACAGGAGATCAGATCTCGAGCTGTCAAGAATTTCATCTGCTATGCAATTATCAATGGCATCTTCTGCTTCGTGAGCAGCATCTACTATCTTTCTCTCCAAATCTGGTTGTTCTTGACTCTCTCCATGGGAATATGCCTTCAGAAATTTCTGAAATAAACAACCCATTTCCTCCAGATGGTCAATTTGGCACCTGTAAAAACTGATCTGGCTAGTACGGTACTGGACCCGCCTCACAGAATGGATAAGAGAAAGAATAGCTGCATAAGCAGCAGCAGCCATCCCTAAGCTCTTTCTGCTACCTTACAGAATTTACGCCTGAAACTTGAGTTGACTTTTTGGTGTGGGAATCAAATCAAAAGTTAAATGATATATATACCAGAAGATTGTAATGGATGCAAGAATTGTTCTGTTTGTAATAAGATGAATCAAATTATCTGAACCATCTGGTTTAGAACTATTACAGATCTCCTGGTTGATCTTCTTTGTTGTTTGGCGTTGAGAGTGACTGTTGTAGAGGAAAGATTTTAAATCAGCTGAATCAAATTATCTGAAGCATCTGGTTTAAAAAAGTTGCGACTTTTCTTTATGGGAAGTTTGATAGGCTCCATAATTATAAAATGTTTCTTTGAGGAGTAAGTTTTGTTTGAATAATTCCACGAACTGTACATCAGCAAACAACAATTGGGAATTGTTTAATTATCGTGGACAAAAAAATTGTGTTATTTTTAATAAACACAAAAATTTTGTACAAATTATATTTAATTTGAATTTAGAGCGGGTGTTATTATCTAAATGGGTCATTTGATTCTCTTTCCGGATCGATTTTTTTTCCAACTTTTTCCGATGGCTTCTTTGATCCGAAGAGATTTGGTCTTCAGTTTGACTTTGCCGATGGCTTTCGTCTCCATACAAGCGATTTGATCGTCGACATTGGATTTGATGTCCTCTTTAGACGATTCGAGCCTTTGATCTTTCGTTTGGCTTTGCCGCCTTTTGGAGAGCTTTGGTCTCCGTGTAGGCGATTTGATCGTCGTCTTTGGATTTGATGTCTTCTTTGGACGATTCGAGGTTTTAATCTTTAATTTGCTTTATCTTTGCCGGTTTTGGAAGACTTTGGCCTCCGTGTGGGAGATTTGATCATCAGCTTTGGAATTGATGTCTTCTTTAGACGGTCCGAGGTTTTGATCTTTGCTTTGTCTTCGCCGCTTTTGGAGGACTTTGGTCTCCGTGTGAGCGATTTGATCATCAACTTTGGATTTGATGTCTTCTTTGGAAAATTCGAGACTTTGATCTTTGCTTTGTCTTTGTCGCTTTTCGGAGGGCTTTGGTCTCCGTGTGGGCGATTTGATCGTCGGCTTTGGACTTGATATCTTATTTCGACGATCCACGGCTTTGATATTTGATTTGGCTTTGCCGCCTTTTGGAAAGTTTGGTCTCCGTGTAGGCGATTTGATCATCGGCTTTGGATTTTATGTCTTCTTTAGACTATTCCCGGCTTTAATCTTCAACTATGTGGATTTGGTGCTCCATAACACTTTTTGCGGCGTGTCTCTTTGACTTTTGGATCGAAGAGGGCATGGTTGATGCTTTTGACGAAGAACGCGACGAACACCTTGAAGTTTTGGGATGGGCTTTGGAGGCTCTTCTTGGCTTTGACGAATTCCTCAACGGCTTTTGGAGCATTGATCCTTCCTTCAGCTTGAGCAAACGACGAAGAACGTTAACTCTATCGATTCGTCAACCAATATTGAATCATTTGGCCCAATCAGTGACTTTCGACGAAGAACACTTCAAAGGACACGAAGAACATGAAGAACAATACAGAGAGAGTCTAGAGATTTACCAATTTGCTTGAATCCTCGATGTAACTTCGGTATCTCAAATGAACTGTCCATGACTCCTATTTATAGGGGAGGGGTGACCTAGGCTTCTTTTTTGAATGATACCACGTGACGCGTCCTGATGGGCCAACAGGAAAATTTTATAATATTTCATTTTCCATCAAATGTTGTTTTCCATTTTTTACAAATTTGATTGTGTACATTCCTTTTTCGCCAAGAACTTTTATATCATTGTCTTTTTCGGATAGATATTATACTTTCTTTATTGACAAGATTAATTTATTTTGCTGCCAAATTTATTATGGCTCTATCTATGTACGTAATATTCGTACGATATCTTCCATTTAAAGCAAATTTTTGCATTAATGATTAATATTTATTTTACAAAAATCAACATATGTGCATAATTAAATACCATATATTTATTTTATTGAAATTTTATTTTCTTCCAAATTACATAATATTTAATTTAATTTTTAGTGCCTAGAAAATGCCCCATTGAGACTTGTTTAAGCCGACGCAAAACGTTTAAGGCGTGAATGAGTCTCGAAACATAAGTTAATTTATTTTATTTTTTTATTTTTTATTTTTTTTAATGAAACTTTCTTTTTTGTTTGCCCTTTTTTTCCATTTTTTTTAACGGCCCTTTCTTTTTTTTGACATGATCTTTTTAAGCCCGATTTTTTTAGAGCTTTTTTTTATATAATTGACTGAACTCTGAGTTATATTTTAAGTTGCTTACGTATCCGGTGAAGAAATCAAATAATAATATAGTTAAAAAAAATTGAATTTGTTTTTTTTATTAAACAGTTTATTCTCGTGTTAAGGAGTCTTATAGAAAGTTTATCCTCGTTTCCAGGAGATTGTAGAAAGTTTATCCTCGTTTTTAGGAGATTGTAGAAAGTTTATCCTCGTTTCCAGTAGGTTATAGAAAGTTTATCCTCACTTCTAGGAGGCTGAAAAAAGTTTATCCTCGTTTCCAGGAGGTTGAAGAAAGTTTATCCTCATTTCTAGGAGGGTGAAGAAAGTTTATCCTTGTTTCTAGGAGTGAAGAAAATTTATTCTCGTTTTCAGGAGGTTGTAGAAAGTTTATTCTCATTTCTAGGAGTGCTGAAGAAAGTTTATCCTCGTTTCTAAGAGGTTGAAGAAAATTTATCCTCATTTCTAGGAGGCTGTAGAAAGTTTATCCCCGTTTTCAGGAGATTACAGAAAGTTTATCCTCGTTTCCAAGAGTGTTGTAGGTATGATTGCCCCCACTATTTGAAGTGTTATATTTCTCGTCATCTGAGAAATCGTGGGTAGGCGGTTCATATCTTCCACTAGTCATCATACTCAATTCCATATCATGAGCGCAAGTGGCGAATTCTTCAAAAGTATGGGGTCGGATCCCTTGTAGGATGTATTTCAAGCCCCACTACATTCCTTGAATATACATTTCTATGCCAGAAGCCTAAGAAAAACGGTCTTTGCAGTTGAGACTTAAATTTCCCCAACTGTTGATGTAGTCAATTACTGACTCATCTTTCCATTGGCGGCTGTTGGTGAGTTCGGTCATGCTGACAGTTCTCTTTTTGATGTAGAACCGGTTCAAGAACTTGTACTCCAACTACTCCTAATTGTCGATGGAACCAACCTCTAAGTTGATGTACCAGTCGAAGGCGTTGCCTTTTAGTGACCGCACAAATTGTTTGACTAGGAGGTCTCCATATGTTCCAAGATTGTTGCATGTCTCGACAAAGTGCGCTATATGTTGCTTTGGGTTGCCTTTTCCGTCAAATTATTGAAACTTTGGTGGTTGATAGCCCGTTGGCATTTTGAGGGCGTCAATCCTTGCAGTGTAAGGCTTGGCGTAAGTGTGCGTTGGCCTTGAACTTCCTTCGAATTCTCTTTTGATTGCCCTCTTGATGTATTTGTAAAGTTGGGATATATGGATGAAGGAGTTGAATGATCCTTGAAATGGATTTGGTTCCGCCACCTTTTCTTTGACATAACGTTGCTCCATAGATATTGCCATTTTATTTTGGACTGCTGGGGAAGATGGTTATTTATGGCATAACCGGATTCTTCAGGCTTGTCCAGCTTTGTGGAAAGTTTTTCTATAAGGGCGTCTTGTTATTGCATGTGTTGAGATATCTCTTTAACGATTATGGACAATGCTGCAAGTTGGTCTTCTATATTTGAAGCATTGATAGTCATCACCATAGCAGAGTTTGATACGATTGAATGACTTGAAATTGGCCGCTGAGTAGGTGGCATGAAAATGCCTTTGAAGCTTTGTTATTCCTTGCAGAGCAGATTTTGATCCGCGGTCTTTGGGTCCTCAATATTTGAAGCGTTGGTAGTAATCACCGTAGCAGAGCTTGATACGGTTGAATGACTTGCAGTTTGTTGAAGGGTGAACCGATGCGGCAACACTCTTGAAGTTGTTGTCTTCTTTGTAGAGTTGACTTTGCTCTATGATTTTAGTAGGAGCATCTTCATAGAATGACAATGCTATTTTGGTCACGCTTCGTGTTGTCATTCCAACATTTGTTGAAGTGCTTGAGTTTTTTGATGCGGTGGATGCAGCGATTCCTTTGGCAGCAGCAGCTTGAGCAGCAGTTTTCGACGCAGCGTTGGGCGTCTTGATATTGTAGAAAGCCATTGGTTGTTGAAAATTTGTCGGAAAAAGAGATCTCATTGGGCATGCAAAAAATCTGTGGACAATAAATTGTGTTATTTTTAATAAACACAAAAATTTGTACAAATTATATGTAATTTGGATTTAAAGAGGGTCATATTCTCTAAATGGGTCCTTTGATTCTCTTTCCAGGTCAATTTTTTTCCAACTTGATTTTCGATGGCTTCTTTGATCCGAAGAGATTTGGTCTTCGGTTTGACTTTGCCGGACCTTGGAGGGATTTGGTCTCCATGCGGGCAATTTGATCGTCGGCTTTGGATTTGATATCCTCTTTGGACAATCCGAGCCTTTGGTCTTTGGTTTGGCTTTGCCGCTTTTTGGAGAGCTTTGGTCTCCGTGTGGGCGATTTGATCGTCGGCTTTGGATTTGATGTCTTATTTGGACGATCCGAGGCTTTGATCTTTGCTTTGTCTTTTCCGCTATTGAAGGACTTTGGCCTCCATCCGGGCGATTTAATCATCAGCTTTGAATTTGATGTCTTCTTTAGACGATCCGAGGCTTTGATCTTTACTTTGTCTTTGCCTCTTTTGGAGGACTTTGATCTCCGTGTGGGCGATTTGATCATCGGCTTTGGATTTGATATCTTCTTTAGACGATTCGAGGATTTGATCTTTGCTTTGTCTTTGCCGCTTTTTGGAGGGCTTTGGTCTCCGTATGGGCGATTCGATCGTCAGCTTTGGACTTGATGTCTTCTTTGGACAATCCGCAGGTTTGATCTTTGATTTGACTTTGCCGCCTTTTGAACAGCTTTGGTCTCCGTGTAAGCGATTTGATCATCGGCTTTGGATTTTATGTCTTCTTTAGACTATTCCCGACTTTAATGTTCGACGATGTGGATTTGGTGCTCCATCGAAGAGGGCTTGGTTGATGCTTTTGACGAAGAACGCGACGAACACCTTGAAGCTTTGGGATGGGCTTTGGAGGCTCTTCCTTGGCTTTGACGAATTCCTCAACGGCTTTCGGAGCTTTGATCCTTCTTTCGGCTTGGGCATACGACGAAGAACGTTAACGCCATCGATTCGTCAACCAATATTGAATCATTTGCCCAAATCAGTGACTTTCGACGAATAACGCTTCGAAGGACACGAAGAACATGAAGAACAATACAGAGAGAGTCTAGAGATTTACCTATTTGCTTGAATCCTCAATGTAACTTCGGTGTCTAAAATGAACTGGTCATGACTTCTATTTATATGGGAGGGGTGACCTCGGATATTATAATCTTTCCTTTTCCATCGGATGTTGTTTTCCATTTTTGACGAATTTGATTGTGTACTTTCCTTTTTCGCCAAGATCTTTATATCATTGTCTTTTTCGGGAAGATATTAATTTATATACTTCCTTTATTGACAAGATTAATTTATGTTGCTGCCAAATTTATTATGCCTCTATTTATGCGCGTAATATTCATACGATATCTTCTATTTAAACAAATTTTTGCATTAATAATTGATATTTATTTTACAAAAATCAATATATGTACATAATTAAATACAATATAATTATTTTATTGAAATTTTATTTTCTTCCAAATTACATAATATTTAATTTAATTTAGGCGTGCCTACAATTACTACAAGTATATGGCCAACATGGTTCTCCAAAAGTTTCTTGAGCTATTTTAAAATCTTTCCTCTTCATCAGTCACTCGAAACGCCGAACAACAAATAAGAGCCACCATGAGACCTGTAATAGTTCTACACCAGATGCTTAGTAGTTTGATTCAGCAGATTACAAACATAAGAATTCTTGCATCCATTACAATCTTCTGGAATATATATATATATATATCATTTAATTTTTGATTTGATTCCCACACCAAAAAGTCAATTCTAGTTTCACGTTTAAATTCTGTAAGGGAGCAGAAAGAGGTTAGGGATGGCTGCTGCTTATGCAGCTATTCTTTCTCTTATCCATACTGTGAGACGGATCCAGGATCGTACTAGCCACAAAAGTTTTTACAGGTGCCAAATTGACTGCCTAGGGGAAATGGGAAGTTTCTTTCAGCGATTTCTGAAGGCATATTTTCATGGAGAGAGTCAAGAACGACGGGATTTGGAGAGGAAGATTGTAGATGCTGCTTACGAAGCAGAAGATGGCATTGAAAATTGCATAATGGCTGAAAAGTTTAAGAGGCCCAGATCAGATCTCGAGTCACAGATTCGGTGGCTTGTAAGAGTGGAGGAAAACATGAAATCGATAATTGAGTTGTGTATAGGAATCAAAGATGTGCAGCTGGCCATCAGGTCTCTTCCTAGTCCATCAGGTCGTCTTGCACATCACCACCTACACCAACACTCCCTGCCACGTGCTTGGAAGAGACCTGTAGTGTGACTTGATATCATAGTTCGCCGGATCGGCCGAGTCCGGTCCGACTCGGCCGATCCGGAACCGGAACGGTCAGGACCGTTCCGGTTCGTCAAAAATATCCGATATTTGCCCAAAATTTTCCCATCCATTCATATCTTATCTATAAAACCCATTATAAATCTTATTCTTACCGATTTTCTACTTTTTATTCATATTATTCGAACAATTCATCTCAATTCGATCAGATCGGAGAAGAAAACATTTACCAGTGGGCTGAAGAAGAATCGTGGAGGAAAGACCTCTGTTCTGCGTTCGCGTCTGAAGAAGAATTGTGGGGGAGGGGAAGAAGAAGTGGGAGGATTCTGCGTTCGCGTCGGTGAAGAAAATCGTGGCATATAAAGCACGGCGGTTCCGATTCCGCGGCGGTGGTGGTGGAGGCTCCGATTTGAGACATTTCGGCGACGGATCCGTCGAGGAACGACTCGATTTCGTCTGGCCAGGGCTTCGATTCTGAGGCAGGGGGAAATCGTGGGGGGAGGGGGAAATCGTGGGGGAGGGGAAATCGCGAGGAAGGTAAATTAATTATTATATTATTTTAATTAATTTAAATATTTATAAATTTGAATTATTTTTTATTAATTTGTTTATTTAATTTATAGGTTTAATTATTTTAGATTTAATTATTTAGAATAATTTGTTTAATTTATTGATAAATTTAGTTTAATTGTGTTGGATTGTATTTAATTTTTATTTAATCTATATAAATTGAGTTCATTAAAATTAATATTTTAGAATAACTTATAATCTTATTATTTAAAATTAATATTATTTTAGACAAAATTTGTATTAATTGTAAATTTATTGTAAAAAATTAATATTTTAACTATATTTTTTATATAAACAAATTAGTTATCTACTTAAATTTTTGTATAAGTTTGATTTATTAATAAACTAATATATAATTTGTCTATTCAATTAATGAATTACTATTTATAAATATTTTAACAATTGTATTATTCAATTACAGAGTTTGTGTAAAATGACACCGCACAGAGATATTGGTTGGGATCATGCTACTCCTATCAGCAATGATAGAAAACAAGCAAAATGCAATTATTGTGGTAAAATTGTTCACGGCGGAATTACTAGGATGAAACAACATATAGCACATGTTACAGGTCAAGTTGAAGCATGCACGAGAGCTCCAAAAGAAATAAGAGAGTTATTAAAAGAACACTTGATCCAAGGAAAAAGTATGCGAGCAGCACATAAAAAAAAGTTAGAAGCATTGCAAAATTCCATTCGTTTGGAAGATGATTCTGATGAGGAAGAAGATGAAGTTTTTGAAATAAATGAAGATGAGATAGATGCTCTTGAAAGAAAACACTTAAAAAGAGCAATGGCTGAAAGCAGAAATATGGAATTTATGGAGCAGCAGCGTAGACATTCTGTTTCCGGAGATCTACCAAGCTTGAATTTTAAAGCCGGTATATTTATTAAATTTATAAAATATATTTAAATATTAGTATATTTTTTTTGAGATAACAACCATATATGATCATATGCTTTTTTTTTTTTTTTTTTATCTTTGTAGGAGGAAGCAGCTCGAATACAAAAGGAAGTAAAAGAAATTTTTTCGAAAGCTCTATGAAAAAGACAGAAGGTTTGCATAAAAAAAAAAAACTTGATCCATACATGTTTCAATCGAAGAATAAGTCTTTGAAAAATATGTTTTCAAAAGATAATGCAAAAAAAGTGGGTAGAGCAATTTCGAAATTTTTTCATTTTAATGCAATACCATTTCACGCTGCCGATAGTGGTCCTTACTACCAAACGATGATTGACACGATTGCATCGGTTGGACCTGGAGTTAAAGGACCTACTGGTAAACAAATTGGTGGTGAATATTTAAACGAGGAGATGCAAGAAGTTGTACAGTATGTTGATTCTTTAAAGCAGAAATGGAAAACATACGGATGTACAATTATGTGTGATGGTTGGAGTACTCGTACAAAACATCCAATCATAAATTTTATGGTGTACTGTGATAGAGATATGATATATCACAGTTCGGTTGATTGTACAAATAAGGCGAAGACTGCGGACTTTGTCTACACCCTAATGGATAAGGTGGTGGAATCAGTAGGGGTTGACAATATTGTACAAATTGTAACTGATAGTGAAGCTAGTATGAAGGCGGCTGGGAAAAAACTGATGAGGAAAAGGAAGCACATTTTTTGGTCTCCATGCGCAGCGCATTGCATTGATTTGATGTTAGAAGACATCGGAGATATATTGTCAGTGAAAGATACGATAAAAGAAGCCAGAAGAATTACAGGATTTATATACAACAGTGATAAAGTGGTTAATTTGATGAAAACATATACGAATGGCCGAGATCTGTTGCGACCAGGCATAACAAGATTTGCAACCGAGTTTGTTGCAATGGAAAGTCTTCTGAGATATGCAACCGATTTGAAAAGAATGTGTACTTCTAGAGAATGGGTTGAGTACAATAATACCTCGAGGAGAAGACATGAAGCCGGAGATATATCAGACTTGATTTTGAATGAAAGATTTTGGAAACGGATACGCCGAGTCTGTGGGGTCATGGAACCCTTAGTGAAGGTTTTAAAAGTAGTTATCAAGATAAAAAACCTACACTACCTATCATTTATGAGGCAATGGATAGGGCAAAAATGGCAATAAAAACCGCGGTGAAAGATTTTCAACAATATTGGGATATCATCGATGAAAGATGGTATAATCAATTGCATCAAGATTTGCATGCAGCAGGTAACTATTCTTGTTATTTTTTTGTTTTTATATTGTGCTAATCGTTTGTTTTATTTTTTAATTTTATATACATTTCATGCAGCTTATTTTTTAAATCCTGGTCTTCAATACTCCGGCACTTGTGAATTTGATTCATCGGAGGTTCGAAAAGGAGTAAAAGAAGTTATCAAAAGACTCGAGCCAGATTTGGATATACAAGTAAAGGCTATGAATGAGGTAAATTATGTGAAATTTATAAATAATATATAAATATATATATATTAATTTCTAATAATTTTACTATTATATTGTCTATAGATAAACATATTTGTTAACAAAATTGGAGAGTTTGGAAGTGCACTTGCTATTAGAGCTGTATCTACATCTTTACCAGGTATGTATTATGAAATTTATCATTTAATTATATTTTTAAATATACTTGTTATAAAATGTTGCATTATTAATAATTTTTTATTTATTTTTAATAGCTGACTGGTGGAATATGTACGGTGATGAAGCTCCTAATTTAAGAAAAATTGCATTAAAAGTTTTGAGTCAAACTTGCACATCATCGGGTTGTGAGCGGAATTGGAGTACGTGGGCTTTGATCCATACTAAACTTCGGAATAGATTAGCTATTGAGAAACTGCATAAGCTAGTCTATGTCCACTACAACATGCGTCTTCGGGTAAAAAATTTTATGCAAAGGACAGACACAGACGATTTTTATGACCCAATTGATTTGAATCATATTTTTGATGAAAATGATATTTTAGATGAATGGGTTAGAGAAAATGAATCTCCACTTATTCGTGATAGTGATTTGAATTGGTTGGATGAGGCTATTGAAGAAAGTGGAGATCGAGGTCATAGTGAGCATAATGATCATGACAGTGATATGCTTTTATCTCAATTTATAGCTGATGGAAAAAAGAAAGCGAAAGAGAATAAAACAGAAAACAAAAATACGGCCAAGAAAAAAAAAGCAATCATATTGGAATCTTCATCTTCATCGACTAATGGTGAAGATAAGAATAATAACAATGATGATGATGATGATGATGATGATGATGATGATGATGATGATGATGATGGTGGTGGTGGTGGTGGTGGTGGTGGTGGTGGTAGTGGGAGCTACAGGGATAGCCGATACTCAAGTGATATGGGATGGGCTCAAGGAAATGAAAATTATTATGCTACCCAAGACACTGATCATGGATATCGTCCTGGTATAGAAGCTCAAAGAGATTTTCTAAATAGTTTAACAGAATTTTCAAGTGAAGCCGATGCTTCAAATTTTTCAGATACTAGGAGATATTCTGGAGTTCACGAACATATGCAAGACTTGAATATAGGTTATTCCTATGGAGATTCTTCTCATAGCTCGAGTAATAGATTGGGGAGACAGGAGTGGGACCAACCAAATGCATATCATAATCCCTATTACTCAGGATACGGTTTATCTAATCTACCCAGACATCTTCAGGATTCAGCCAATCTTCCTATATTTGGATCCAACCAACCAGTTGGAACATATTACGGAGGGATTACATCTGGTTCGGGTAGTATTGATGATCGTAGACAAAATTATGGTTCATCAAGCAGAAGCAATGATAATAGAGAATATCGAGGTTTTGATGTATATGGAAGGGGTTCATTCAGAGAAAATCAATATGGTTCGAACATCTCTCCTTATCCAAGCAATATGAATCCAGATGAAAATGATTTTGAACCTCCATGACATTCCACATGGTATTGAATGGTAAGTATAAATATTTAGTATAAACGTAGTTTGAACATTTTATAAAATTTTATTTGTATTTTTTTTCTAATTATTTTTATTTATATAATGCAGATGATAAAGATGAAATCTTGACATTGACGGACACAAGGTACATCATTTTGTTATTAAAATAAATTTATTAGTATAATGACAATATGCAAAACATAAAATTTAGCATTTACATTTATATATATCCGCTAATTTAGTTGAAATATTATTCATTTTAAATTTTGATCTATTATAAATTATAATATATTTTTTCAATAATATATATTTTTAAATTAATTATATTTATAATTTGATGTATTTTAATTAATTATTTATTATTTTTTTGAAAAAATATAAATTTTATATAAAAAAATCATATAGGCCGATATTTGACCGATACACCGCGACCGATACGCCGCGACGTATCTGGAACGGTAAAGGCCGATCCGCGACGCCGATCCGCGACGGCGAACCATGCGTGGAACCCTCCACTGCAATCTTGGGTCCAGCAAGGCACTTATGCGGCCGCTACACCCCCAAAGAGTGATTCAGGCCAGACATGGGGGCTAGGAGGGCATGCTGTTATTGCGCAACCGCCACCGGCCTTATGCCAGCCGGCTGCTGGAGGGCAGCCGCTGAAACCGAGTTAGGTGGAGAACATAAAGCACAATGGTATATGAACATAAAAATAAACTGACATTCTAACAGTCTAAACATAGTTGTGTCCTATATAACACCGCCGTGTTTGGTCCGAATCAAATGCCACATAAATTTTTGTTAAAAAATTACATTAGCACATTCCGTTTTAATTTTAATGGTGGGACAAAAAATGATAGACTTTTTTCGTGTGGGACTAATTTTTATAATTAATTTTAATAGAATTACAAATTAAAAAATATATATATATATATATGATTGGAACCAATATTGACTTGTTACTCTAGTTATTGTCTATACAAGTCATAGATAAATTTTCAAATAGCTTATTTTCAATAATTAAATATTTCATTCAATATTTGATTTTTGTGAATTCGGTAAAATGGAGAATTTCACCAATTCCCTATTGGGAAATTTTTTATATCACAATAATATAATTATCGAAGAAAATTCGATATCAATAAAACTTATCGCAATAAATTCGATAATCATGTTGAGTCGAGGATAAAACCATTCTCCGCAAAAATGAATACGCCCTGGTAGTACCTCCAGTTTATGGCATAATGTTTCGAAAAATAAAATGATATATCATTTTCAGATTAGGTGGCACCCAAATATTCAGGAGCTCCAACGAACTGAAATGAGTCGGAACAAACTGAGTTGGAAGGCTAGAGAGAGGGAAGAGTTTTTGGATATCAATCGGAAATTCGCCGAAAAATTCATCGGGAAAGAAAAGGGGTGGAGAGGTAAAGGAGGTTGTTGTTGTTGATGTAAATGGTTTGAGGATAGGGCCTTTTATAGGCACCTCCACCATGTAGGACATTCATTTCTCGAGCTGAAACTATTGGTAACAAACGATGAATAAATTCCAATAACATACAACCATAAATATCATATTTAATTTCCTGTCATAAATATAATATTTGAATTTTGAATTTCAAATAATCATGCATGCATATGCAGACTTTTTGGTCAAAAATTATTTATCTTTTGGGACTTCATAAATTAATATTTGACTCAAATCCATTTCATGATTTTCGTATCAAGTCAGGGCGGACAGCGCGTGTGTGGCTCACTAACCTGCCATGTCTTAAACATACTTTATGTCCTACTTATGTAATGTTGTATATAAACACAACTTATTTGTTTTATAACTTTTAGTGTAGGATAAATTATTCATTAATTATTTAATTGTCCCTTAAACACTCATAATACTTCAATGATTATACTTATCCCCAGTCCAAATAGCATATATTTAATTTATACTAATCAAATTAAATTGATTTATCGGCCCGTTATATTTGTACTCACTGATTATTCAATTTTGACAATTATAAATTAAATTCTATCGATTAAATAATTAAATAATTTTCTAATATTCCCCCGTATGAGTGAAAATGCTCATAATTAGGACAAGGCATGATTTAGTTTTAGAGATATCGACACGTCGGGATATGTATTTTATGGCTTTGAACTTTCGTCAGTCAATATCGTTGTATGCATTGGTGACCTAATTGACACGGTGCATTAAACTATTTCACCTTGGTATGCATTGGTGACCTAATTGACTCATTTTATTCTCATATTTTGATTCATTTCGGTCATGGATCACATCTTTGGATGCATAAGTGTTTCATTTGAAGCAACTCTCAATTCACACTTATATAGGTAATTATATTTTAAAGTATTCAGCCCTACTTTTAAGATTATTAAGAGTTAAGGGCTCAACCTCACCACTTTGCACTTTGTAACACTCGTAGTTTTTTAGAGAATGGTGGTGAAGTGTTCATGCCCAACTATTATAGATTTGTTTTCCTATTGTACAAAGCTTAAAATCTCCAAGTTATTTGGTTGGGTTACCACTGTAATTGTCTCTTAAGTTATGGATTTCAGATTCATTCTATTTAGCAGTTTATACATTTTATCACGATATAACTCTTTGGTAAGCGAATCCACAAGGTTTTCTATTAACCTATCCTAGTCAACATTCATAACTTCACTAGTGATCAATTGTCTCATAGTACTATATGTTTGCATCGGGTATATCGGTATTTACCATTGTAAATTTCATTCTTTGTCATTGTTATTGCAGTTTGGCTATCACAATGTATTATTACCAGAGGTACTGGGTTTGACCAAAATAAAGTATTATCAAGAAATTTTCTAAATCATTCGGCTTCTTCATGAGATTTATCTAAAACGGTGAATTTTGATTCCATAGTAGAGTTAGCTATACAAGTTTGTTTCGTACACTTCCACGAAATTGTTCCATCTCCGATCTTGAAGACATATCAGTTTGTAGATAGTGAATCTTACGTGTCAGATATCCCGTTAACATCACAGTATCCTTCAAGTATTAGAGAATATCTTGTGTAATGTATGCTAAAGTCGAGGGTAATAACTCAAGACACTCACTAGTATCTACTGCTTTTTCTACGACTTGTTTAAGAGGCGGTATTTTCACTTTAGCCAGGCACCCCACATTTTTAAATATTTGTACGAAGGTTTCTTATCTTTTCACATTTTATAAGGAGTTTTATCCGTACCGTTGAGTGAAATTTTATTCGGAATATAAATTGCATTTATAATTGCCCACAATTTTTGGATAATCCTGCAAAAATCAATAATGCATTTATAATTTCTTTAAAGGGCTATTTGGTTTATTGATTTGGTGGGATTCCATGGAATTTGAATTTTAAAATCCAAATAAATCCATGTTTGGATACAAAATATATGATGGAATTTAAAGTGAACGGAATTTTAAAATCCTGCAAATGGATGATATTTTAGTAATAGGGTACCCCTATTACTTTAAAATTTCATTCCCATTCTATTTCACATTATACAATTATATCCTCCCACCCAACAAAAAAATCATATATTTTTTAAAAATATTATATGTATATATATATCTATATTTAAATTATATTTTATTGATTTTATAAAAATATAATATTTTATTCAAAATATACTACTACAAATACATATATTTATTTATAATCATTAATTTTATGTATATTTAATTATATTACTAATGATATTTTAAATAAATTAATAATTTAAATTTATTTGACTAGTGTATTAATTTTGTATATTTAGTTCAAAGTATTTTTTATATTAAATATGAGAAAGAGTGTCGATAATATAAATATATATATTATGTTAATTTATTATATTTTTTAGTATATAGACTATATATTATATATTTTGTATGAATCTATATATATGATATTTTTTAAATATTAATCGAAAATCGTATTAAATATTTTTTTATTAGAACACACCCAATCTCGTAAAACAATAAATAAAGTTCACAAGAGAAGAGATGGATGTAAATTTTAATTTATCACACTAAATAAAGTTCGTAAAAGGATATTATGTCATTTAAAATATAAAAAATCCAAAATTTTCAATTAATTTGCAAAACAAATTAGATTTGGAAAATATAAATTCAGATAACTTTACCAAGTAAACACAGGATATGATTCCAAATCCTAAATGCAATCAATCCTATCACATATAAATCTCACTATAAAATCTCAATCCCGTTAAAAAAAATCGGTGAACCAAACAACCCTAAGAATTTGATTTTTGCATTTCAATTTGTAACACCATTCAATTATGAAGTCGTAGTTTGATTAATTATGCTACATAATTCTTCGTACCCAGCTACACAATGCTCTTCTCAATGACTTATCTTCTCAATCACTTAGAACTACCTTAATATTTTTAGTCATCTATTGCTTATTATTATTTCCTTTAACAGATAGATATAGCAATATCTGATGCAATTATCCATAAAGATGAAAAAAAAAAAGAAAACTCACCTTGAGTTTGCACATATTTAAATCACACACATCGGTATAAATTAATTCAAATAGCTCCATATTTCTTTTGACTGAAGGAAATGGTAATTTAGTCATTTTGTCTCCAAAAATCTTCATTTAGTCACCTTGAGGGTCTGTTTGGTTCAAATGAGGGGAGGGGAGGTAAGAGATTTTAATGGAAGGGAGGGGAGGTGAAAGGAGGGGAGAGAATATTAAAATTTTAACAGTGTGTTTGGTTTATATGAAAGAAAAATGAGGCAAAAATAATATTTTTGTATTTGGTTAGATAGGATGGAGAGGAAAAATAGAATATTTTACTATTTTGCCCTATATTATATATAAAAAAAAATAAAATTATTTAATAAAATTTGATTAATTTATTCATAAAATATTATACAAAATGTATTTGTCCGATATAATAAAATAAGATTTGTAAGCATTTTGTTTATGTCTTTCATGCAAAATTGTATTGGAATTTAAGTTAGAAGACTGTTTGAATGAATATTGTGCTTGAAGTTATTTTTGAAAGATAATAAATTGCTTATTTTTTTTAAATATATATTCATTTAAAACTAAGTTATTTTAAAATTATTTATTAAAATATTGTTAATATTATAGATGTAATTATATACTAAATTTATATGATTTATTAAAAAAATATTATAATTAAACTTGACTAAAATATTTAATTAAAAATATTTCAAAATATATAATATAATTTAACATAAAAAATTTTAGAATTGCCTCTCCTCCCTTCCCCTCCCCTCCTAAACCCTCCAACCAAACAGACCCTAAGTCATTTTGTTTTGTGGTTATTAGAGAATTATTATATCACGATAATATAATTATCGAAATAAATTTGATATTAGTATAATTTATCAAAATAAATTCGGTAATCACGTTGAGTAGAGGATAAAATCTCTCTCCGCAAAAACAAATGTGCCCCGGTAGTGCCTCTGATTCATAGCGTAACGTTCTCAAAGATAAAACAACATATCATCTCTAGATTATGTGGCATCCTAATATTCTGGAGCTCCGACAAACTAAAATAAGTTGAAACATAACTGAGATGGGAGGCTAGAAGAAAGAGAGTTGTTGGGTATCAACCAGAAACTGCCGAAAACTCATCGAAAAAGGAAACGGGTAGAGGGGAGGGGAGGTTGTTGTTGTAAATGGTGTGAGGAGAAGGCTTTTGATAGTCACCTCCACCACGCGGGCCAATAATTGACCGTGTCAAAACCATCGGTAACCGATGAATAATAAATGTCAATTACATCCACTCATACACACCGAACTTAATTTCGGTTAATTCCGGTTATAAATATAATATTTGAATTTTGAATTTTAAATAATTATGCATGCATGTGCAGATTTTTCGAGAGAAAACTATCTATTTTTGGGGCTGAGCAAAATAATATTTTACTCGAGTCTATTTCATAGTTTTCGCGTCCAGTCCGGGGGACAGCGCGTGGGTGTCTCACTTAGCCACCGTTTATGCCACACTTATGTAAACACAACTTATTTGTATTATAATTTTAAGTGTAAGATAAATAACTAATTAATTAGTTAATTGTCTTGTAAACACTTGTATAGTTCAATGGCTGTATTTAGCCCTAGTCCAAATAGAACATATATAATCCAAATTAAATCAATTAATTTAATCCATCAGCCTGTTGTATTTTTACTCGCTCATTAATCAAATTTGAAAATTATGAATTTCATTCATAATTAAATTTTATCCCGGGCCTATTTTCTCTAGGGGCCATAGGAGCCCCCAATTATATATATATATATATACACTCTTTACATACTTAATATATAAATATATACTATTATTTTTAAATATTTTAAAGAATAATAAAATTAAATCATATTATTTTTTTAAATAATTTATGTTTATATTAATTTTTTAATTATTTATTTATATGTTTTAGTATGTTTATTTAATTGTATAATTTTATATATTTTTGTTGTAAATTATGTAAAATTATGAAGATACGATAGAGAATAATATTTTGTGTGTTTTTTATATTTTTATTTTTATGGTTATATGTTTAAATTTGTATATTCTATTATATGTTTTGGTGATATTTTTTAAAAATTGTGTATTATATAATAGGTTTATTTTTTTTACCAAAAATTTTTCAGTACATTTTTTCAAAAAAACTAATATATTACTTGAGAGGTTTTGATTTTGAAATTTGAATAGTAAAATTCGGAATTGAAATAGATATTGGATGTGATATAAATATGTTTTAATGTAATGTTTTGAATGTAAAATTAGATTTTAGTATAATAAAATAAATAAAAATTGAGTGTTTGGTTTGATGTTTTTGAAGGAAAAATAAAATTGAAATAGTAAAATCAAAAGTAAAATCTTACAGGTAAACAGAGCCAATTATTTTTTTTATAATTTACATAATTTGTTATACTTTATATCAAAAAAATTTCTTCAAACCAAAATACAAAACAAAACAACCTAAATAATACTTTTGTTTGAAAATTTCTTTCAAAAGATTTTGACTATTTATAATAAAAAAAAAAAAAAAATTAAAAAATATTAAATCATATATATTTTTTGGATATTTTATATTAAACAAAAAAATGCCACATTAATTTTATTTATATTTTGATCTTTAAATATATAAAAATTAATTTTATTTTAACATTTACATTAAAAATGTGTAAAATTATTTTTATTATTATGCTAATATAAAAATATATATTTAGAGGCCCACTATTTCAGCCTCGGAAAAGCCAGGAACGCGCCTGATTCTATCGATTAAATAATTAACCGATTTTCTAACATTTTCAACATGAGCAAAAATAAACAATGCAAATAAATAGAACATGTATAATTTTATTGCATTATGAATATTTATATCTAATTTATAATGTTTACAATATTATAAAACATAAAAACTAAATTAAAACTACCGAATAAATAAGAATTAAAAATAAAAATGAAGGACCCCAAAGCAATAAAAAAAAAAAAAAAAAAAAAAAAAGAACTTTTCCTCCAATTTTGGAAGAATGCCACAATGTTCTTTTAGAAATTGAGGAAGAAATTGATTCGGTTGGAGCAATTTTACTCCACTTACGAAGGATTCCTCTAAAACTTGAGACGGTTGGAATCAATAGTACTTTATTAAACTGCCCTATACTTGGCACTTGTATAAATAATCTCATATGAATATTTTATCATTCTCTATGAAACAAATGATTATTGGTCATCAAAAACTCAAAGTAAATGGCCTACACCTAGGGACAGAAATAGACCACACGTACAATCTGGTCTGTATAAGATTTGGTTTGGTCTAACCTGTTTACTAACAAGACTAAATTCAGATATATTTTTAAATCTTTTTAAATAAATAAAACAGACTTAGAGTTTTTGGCCTATCAGACCGGCCTATTTATAATATTTATATAATATATTTTTTTATCTAATATATATAAATATTATGTTTTTAATTGTTTATAGTTTATAAAAAATTATATTTGGTGATAATAAAACTAAAAATTTAATTTATTTTAACTGATTTATTAGATATAATAAATAATTGTACATATTTTTCTACAAATATTAAGTTTGAAAAAAATATATATATTATAGACTTTTAAATAGACTCGTAGGCCAAGCCAAACTTTGAAGTAGGCCTTATATATATATATTTTCATACACATTAATTTTCTTCTACAATTCACAACTACAACTCTACCAATTCAAAGTATTTTTCCCAAGGATAGCAACAATCACATTTAAAACAACACTTACAAACTAATACAACAGTACATACTATGAATCAAACATATTTGAAGATCAAAGTTACCTCACATGCTAAAATAAAATCCATTTTGCACACCCAACTCCTGATGGAGAAAATACAAGTCATTTAAGGCCTCCAACCTACAGCCAATGGCTGGTTTTACCAACGCTACCGAGGTCACAGTTACAAAAAAATCACTTTCGGACACTGCTTCTCACTAGCGAAAACGGGTGCCCTATAATTCATTTTCTTTTAACTAGTTTTACTGTTTTCTTGATCGAAGGTAATTTTTTCCTTTCTACAAAACAAGGACAAATTGTAACAAAAGTCAAATGGGGAGCGAAATGTAAACATAGATGTAAATGGGGGACAAAATTTAACAAAACTTCTATTTGAAAATCGAATCACAAATAAAAAACCATTAAGGGGAATCTAATCCAATCTCCCTTTGAAAATCTCACTTATGACATTGGAAATGTAATATTAATTGAGAAGAGAAGAGCATGACCACCCCACGAACGATAGTTAGTTTTACTTAGTGATGAATATGCTAAGACAAGGAAGAACCTTTGGAACCACAACAGAACTGGTAGTAGATACAGACAAAATACACATGCTCGCTAAAACTTTTCCTTGTACATGGCAAGATATATATATAATCTCTATCTCATGAATCTATCTCAGACACAACCATGAATGACATTAAGATGTATGTGTTTGTTCATGATTCTGAAACAGCCCCTCCGTATCTTGTGGGGAAAAACAAATTAATCTCAAGCTGGCAACTCAAGTTTGACATTGTTCTTCCAGCTGAAACCGCAAAGTTGCAGATGATCATAAATATGCACGACATGTTACCCAGCCCGTAGTACAGAAATAGATTTGGGTATTGTATATACCTTTGGAAGTAATAGTAGAAGAAATCAGCGTAGAGTAGTGTTTGAACAAGCCCAGATATCCATGCTGCAAGGCCAGAAACACAACACAAATATATCACTTAATTTACTGTGATCATCTTCCGATGTGATAATGAAAGCCAATGCATGCTGATGCACAGACAGATTTGGGAGTTAAGAGTGTGTGGATGAGAAGAGAGATAGAGTCGTACTTATCCAATGCACATAGTGTGGCTCAGTAAAATAGCGATAAATCCAATTCAAAATGTATAATGCCCGGTAGGCTCTGCAATAAAGATGAAAAGTATCATAAGTCACCGCTTGATCAAAGAACAAGTCATTCCTTCTTCCACAATTAGAAATCTCAAATGGTGGATCATACTAAGACTCCAAACGTTCTTAGAAGAAAAAACACAATCAATCAAAGGGTCGAGACAAAACCCATGTAAAATTAATAAAATAAAGATAACTAAAGTAAAGCTGCTGCCAAACACAATCTACACCAGGCTATCGTATTACACAATGCCCAAAGTAAGAGCACTATAAAAGCATCAACACAAAGTAGAAGAGATATAGACAGTCTATTCAATTACTATCATCTTAATGCACTTCGATTCACAATCTACTTCTACAGGCCATGAAAAGCTAGTTGCTCAAAAGAATGACATGCTTACTGCTAATGAAAAAAAAATCAATGGCAATTGAAGAATACAACCACATCTAAACAAAAACAGCATGGGTATAGAATGGAGGTGATAAATGAACAACGGGAGGAGAGATGAATCATCTATAATAATTTTCAGCTGCATCCTTTAGGCCAACTTACCTCCTTATATTTGCAAAGCACGACATCCAATAGAGCTTTGTTCAACTATTCATAGTAGTTTAGCATGTTATGAAATCTTAAAACATGAGAATTTTGTGGTCAAGCAGATGTAATTATATGCAGAAAAATGATATTGAAAAAAACACAGGCAAATTCATAGCTAAAGGCTAATTTCATACGTAATTCTTTCATGAATAGAGATCTTGATTTGGAAATAAGAATTGAAAGAGTACGAAATACCCTAGAAGGAAAATATATTGCCCTGTCAAGTTATCGATATTTCTTGTTCTCTGAAGCAAGACCAGCTGAGGAAGAATGGCGACAGCTTCCAGATATAAAGAAAATGTCCACATTACCTGGTGCAGAACAAAAGGGATTTTGATATCAGCAATCTAATCATGTTATAGCTATAGCAGCTTCCGATGGAAACAGCATAAGTACCTCTTTGAAGGTAAACTTCTCATTTATGATTAGGGCCAATAACATACAGGGCAACATAAGGAAATAGTGTCGGAAAGTGTCTTGGTCTCTGTCATATGATCTGCGCACAATCTTGTGACGCCTCATATACCAAACTATTGAGAAAGAACTTCCCAAGAAAATGATCTTCATCAGTGTATTGTAGAGTGAGATGTAGTCTGTGAAAAGATCAAGGTAGCGAGTTGCAAAAACAACAGAATAGAGTTCCTGAGTCTTCAGAGATATGCCTGGAAAAGATAATATTAAAAATCACTATATGCCACGAGCAAATTAAACGTAAAATCACCTGAAGATAGTTGCAAAATAAACCGTAGAAGTGCTTCTTAAAAGTCACAAGATCAGAACCTGATGATCTGTCCCATTATGATCTTACATTTATAGTGTGTTTGTTTGGGGGATTTTCCCCCAAATCCACTATTATCTAATTTTTCCCCCCAAAAAATATCAAATCAAATATTTATTTTTTATTTTTTATATTATACTAAAAATTAGTTTTACACTCAAAACATCACATTAATACATATTTATATCACATCATACAACTATTCAAATTCAAAAATTTTACTATTCAAATCCCAACTCAAAATCCAAACCCCCAAACAAACACACGTATTTCAACAGTTTGTGCAAATTTTGTAATCACATAGACATCAAATCCAATATATCTTTCAGCAAAGAGCAAACACAATATATTTAATGTCCATAATCTGCCACACTTCAATATGATAAGCACACCATGCATCTACCGAGCTTTTATAAGAATCCTCGAAAGTAAATAAAGAACAAACTAAGAGAGGAAAATAAATGCTCATAAAGAATACAATAAAACACAAGACGTGCTACATTTCACGAACACATCAAATTTCAATTGAGACTAGCATTAGAATATCGGATACAAATAATCCACATTTGGAAGCTGTTAATGGTTCCACAAGCAGATTTAAATATAAGCATATGAGATCAAAAGTGACAAATCAAAACATAAAAAATGTTCCTAATTCGGGAGAGTCATTGAATCTTCTTTATAATACCAAATCTATGCTCAATGCATCTGTCTGCATTTCCTGCCCGCAGCAACATAGGCAACAAACTCTCAAATACATTCCATTAATATAATAGCCAAACCAAAAGATCTAACCCTTCCAGTTCTTGTTACAATCAATTTAATTTAACAAACAAACTTTGAGCATCTGACAGGGCTGCTTAGGGCTAATCCTTTCCCAACTGAATAAAACTTTAACAAATCCACCATTAAATTAACCAATAACAGATCCAACACAGGCATCCCTAACAAGCTTCAAGCCACCGAAACAACCGCATAAAAGTGTCTCCATTCGTTATTTCTTATCAAAGTTCGCAACGTAAATGGAATAGCACAATAGAAACATTTACAAAACTTCCGAACCAAATATATTTTTAAGAAAACCTAAACAGATTTTATCCGTGTTCATAAATCCAAATCAGAAGCATATACACTCGTTGAAAAGGCGAAGATCAAAAAGAGCGTTGAAAGCAATACCAGCGCAAGATTTGATAGTGTGAATCTTGAGGAGCAATACAAGAACACTTGCCAAATGGGTCATGTCCCCAGCTAACCTGAATATATTCATTTTCTCCCCCTTTCTTCTCCCTCCCTCCCTCTCTCTCTCTTTCTCGTTCACCCTAACTTTCCCGGAAAAAATCCGAACTTTCAATATCTCAATCGGCCGAAAGAGTAGATCCGGTGCAAAGGCTCGCCATGATTCTTTTCAATTATATTTTTACTATTTATTCAGGAGTCCGATTCTACATATTTTCACATTCATGTTTTTTTTTAAAGTAGAATAATGAATTTTAAATATAAATAGATGTTAGTAATATGATATTTTAAAATAAATAAATAAGTAATTTGTGTTGTAATATTAATATACGATTATTAAATAGAAATATTAATTACTATCCACTATATTTCATATTTTGAATTATATTATATATTGTATATAATATATAAGTAAATATATATATTTCGTTTCATTCAGCATATATTTATAAAAACATAAAACCACTGCACCTCCGTATGAAGGAAACAAAAAAGTACCAAGTGTGTAACAATTTGATATTTGTAAGATAAAAGGTTGTATTTATTTAGTTCCGAACTCCCGGGTTTTAGTAGTATTTTTGGGAAAAAATATATTTTATGTCCGATTTAAAATAATAATTTTATTTTACCATTTTATTCCGTCTCAAAAATAATGATTTCATTTTCATTTTTGATAATTAATTTTTTATTTTTTTACAAAATTATTCCAAATTTTTAATAATAATAACATAAAGTAAGAACATTTTGGTCTTTTAAATACACTTTTACAATAATAACATAAAATAAGAACATTTTGGTCTCTTAAATATACTTTTACATCCCCTATAGTCCACTGTCCATCTAACACTATTATTCTATAATTCTCATACTCACTCCAAATATCCATGTTGTTTTTGCACGGAAAGAGTATTTTTTTTATATATATAAAATATTTTAATATCAAATTCAAATTAATACTATTTAATAAACCCAATTTAGTGCCATTTTTTTCTATATGAAAAATGTGTTTGTGTGGGGATCGGATTTTAAATACACTATTTATTTCATTTTTTCTCCTCAATAATATCAAATCAAATACTTATTTTTTATTTTTTATATTATACTAAATATTAATTTTACATTCAAAATATCACATCAACACATATTTATACAACTATTCAAATTTAAAATTTTTACTATTTAAATCTCAACTCAAAATTCAAATCCCCAAACAAACAAACCCTTAAAAAAAGTATGGATCTCTTTGGTTAGCACTTGAAATTACTTTCGGAAATATTTAGGGTTGGTTAGATAGAAGACTTTGAAATTTTGAAATTTTAGAAAGACGCAATAATCATCAAATGTTTGTACATAAGGAACAAGATGTTCCACAGTAATGCCAATTGACATACAATAATCATCAAATGTTTGTGATGAATACTCTCCAGCATTATCTAGACGTATTTTCTTTGTCGGGTGATCTGGAAATTGTGCTCGCAATTTAATTATTTGTGCAAGTAGTCTAGTGAAAGCTAGATTGAGAGTAGATAACAGACATACGTGTGACCATCGCGTTGACGCGTCAATTAGTACCATAAAGTACTTGAAGGGTCCACACGGTGGATCTATTGGTCCACAAATATCACCCTGAATTCTTTCCAAAAAAACTGGGGATTCAAATCCAACTTTTGTTGGAGATGGCCTGATTATTAACTTCCCTTGGGAACATGCAGCACAAGCAAATTCATTCGGACTCAAAATATTTTACTTTTTCAATGAGTGGCCATTTGAATTTTCAATAATTCACCTCAACATTACATTGTCAGGATGCCCGAGTCGATCGTGCCAAGTTTTAAATTCGCTAGTAGCCATTTAGTCTACTAGGTGATATGTTTCAATGACACTGATTTTTGAGTAATATAAGCCGGAAGAAAATGATGACAATTTTTCTTTCACAATTCTCTTGCCATTCACAATCTGAGTTATCAGGAGATACTCATTTTCTGTCTCATTTAATGTTTCAATGTGATACCCATTTTTCCGAATATCATTGAAGCTCAGTAAATTCCTTCGAGCTTTGCTCGAGAACAAGGCATTTTCAATTGTCATTTTTGTTCCTTTTGGGAGAAATACAATAGTTTTTCCTGAGCTTTCAATCATTTTTGATATACCAGTGATAGTAACAATAATAGTCTTTCCCATATTCAGGTGGGAGAAATAACATTTATTTTTCAGAATGTTGTGAGTCGTAGCACTGTCGATAAGACAGATGTTGTCATCGGCTTCAAAATATTTGGCATCCATATATTTGCAAATATTTGCAAGAAGGTAAAAATAATAAAAGATATGTATTAGTAACATAATCAAAATAGACTTATATTATAGAGGGTAATACAAAAAAGGGGCAGAAAGCATCAAAATAACAAAAGAGATACAACAATATTTTATCATTTAACATCATCAGCTATGTCCAGCAGATCATTGGCATCCAGGTGCGTGATATTTTCATTCATCACATTGTCAAATGTGTCATCGTGGGCAGCGTGATTTGTTTCGGGGGCAATCATTCCTTGTCTTTCTTTTGAGGCCCGATACATTTCAGCCAAGTGACTGGCCGTGCAACAAACATGGGCCAAGTGACATTTGATTCCACACCGGGTGCACTCCTCGTCATTGTTTTTGTTTCTCCCGGTGTTGAACCTCTGTTGAGGTCTGTATGGCCTTCTGTCATTATAACGCCGATTTGGCACATATCGGGGCCTGTTTTAATAATTATTGTGACTGTATGCATTTACCCGGCCCCGTCCGGGATTCTGATTTCGATCGCGATCAATTCGCTGATTTCTGAATTGCCCACGACCACGCACCGGATTTTCCGGTTGTATTGCATTGGCCTCTGGAAATGGATTTGCACATGTCGGCCGAGATTCGTAATTTTTCAACAGCAATTCATTATTTTGTTCGGCCAATAAAAGACAGGTGATCAGCTCAAAATATTTCTGAAAGCCTCTTTCGCGATACTGCTACTGCAAAACCATGTTAAAGACATGAAAGTGGAGAAAGTTTTCTCCATCATATCAGATTCATAAACATTTTCGCCATAGTGGCGCAGCTATGATGTTATTTTAAACATTGTAGAATTATATTTTTGGACTGTTCTAAAGTCCTGAAGCCGTAGGCTTTGCCATTCGCTTCGTGCCCTTGGCAACAACGTTAGTCTCAAATGATCATATCTTTCTTTCAATCTCTCCCATAATTCAAGTGGGGATTCCAGCGTGACATACTGCATTTTCAATGCCTCATCGATGTGATGACACAAAAAGATCATGGCCTTTGCACGATCTTGGCTCGGGGAGTTTTTATCCCGAGCAATGGTATTTTCCAAGCCCATTGATGCCAGATACATTTTAACATCGTGAGCCCATGTCATATAATTTCGGCCAAAAACGATGAGAGAAAGAAATTACTATTTGGCAAGGTTAGACATAATAAACAGATAAAATATAAAGTATTACCTTGCAGAAATAAAATATGTAATCGTGTTGATAACCTGTTGTAATATTAATATAGGATTAGCCAATAGAAATATTAATTACTTCTACCGCTAACCACTGTATATGAATTGCGCAGAATGAAAGAAGCAAAAACGAGATAATTTAATGGAGCAGACAAGAGGAAATTAAATGTGAATGAATGAAATTGAAATGTAATGCGATTGCAGTTCGTTTCATTCAGCATATATTTATAGATACATGAAACATCCACACGAAGGAAACAAAAAAGCAACCACAGTACCACATAGTTGCTATGTGTACACTTCGTAACAATTTGATATTTGTAAGATAAAAGGTTGTATTTCTTTAGTTCCGAACTCCAGAGTTTTAGTAGTATTTTTGGGAAAAAATATATTTTATGTCCAATTTAAAATAATAATTTTATTTTACCATTTTATTCCGTCTAAAAAATAATGATTTCATTTTCATTTTTGATAATTAATTTTTTATTTTTTTACAAAATTATTCCAAATTTTTAATAATAATAACATAAAGTAGGAACATTTTAGTCTTTTAAATACACTTTTACATCCTTTATAGTCCACTGTTCATCTAACACTATTATTCTTTAATTTTCATACTCGGTCCAAATATCTATGTTGTTTTTGCACGGAAAGAGTATTTTTTTTATATAAAATATTTTAATATCAAATTCAAATTAATACTATTTAATAAACCCAATTTAGTGCCTTTTTTTTTCATAAAAAATGTGTTTGTTTGGGGATTGGATTTTAAATACACTATTCATCCTATTTTTTCTCCTCAATTATATCAAATCAAATACCTATTTTTTTATTTTTTATATTATACTAAAAATCAATTTTACATTCAAAACATCATATCAACACATATTTATATCGCATCATACAACTATTCAAATTTACAATTTTTATTATTTAAATCCCAACTCAAAATCCAAATCCCCAAACAAACAAACCCTTAAAAAAAAGTATGGATCTCTTTGATTAGCACTTGAAATTACTTTCGAAAATATTTAGGGTTGGTTAGATAGAAGACTTTGAAATTTTGAAATTTTAGAAAATTTTAAATTTAAAATTTTTGTATTGATAATACTCCATCTGTCTTATTCAAAAGTTGTCATTTTTTATTTTGATTTGTCCCAAAATAAAATTATCATTTCCTAATTTAACATTTGTACAACTTAATCTAACATAATAAATATTCTTCCAACTTACAATATATTAAACAAATGTTATTCCTTTTATATTATATAATACTAATAAAGAAAATCTACGTAAATTTTGGATAGAAAATTATGGATGGTTTTTGAATTGAGCCGGTACATCGAAATGTGTTTAGATAGAAAATTTTGGGTGGTTTTTGAATTGTAACGATTAATTTATAATGGATTGATAGATTATATATATATATATAAAAGAAAATATTTGATTTAAATTAAATTAAATTATATAAATATTGTAATAAAATAAAATCAATATAAATATTATTTTGTAAAATATAAAATTTTATTTAACATAAAAAGTAAAATATTAATTTATTATTGACATAAATTAATATAAAATAAAATAAGATATAAGTAATATATAATTATATTATATATTATTATTATTACTTGATGGTATTTCGGCAGAAAAATACACCGTACGATTGC